TGTTTGTGTCACTATCTGCTTTATTTATCTGCTTTATTTATCTACTTTATTTATCTGCTTTATTTCATCATCAATTTATATCACTTAAAACTTTTCGTAAATAACTTTCAAGTTTTTCAGCAGTAGATTTACGGAAAAATAAGTGTCGAGGTAATAAAAACGATTTTCTTCGATCATCCAAAGAAGGTAAGGTAGGGCGAGATTTAGGAAATTCTTGACGGAGCTAAAGAAATATATGAATATAATAAATATAATAAATTTAAGAAATGTAATAAATGTAATAAATGTAATAAATAATAAATATAAAATTTATTATAATTATTATAATAGTTATAATATAAAATACCTGCTGATCAAACTCAACAAAGTCAGAAATCTGCCTACATATACTTAGTAGCTGATTTCGATCTTCAATCGTTATTAGAAATAACTTTAAAGAAAAAAAAAGGACAATTAACATAGTGAGTTAAATGGTACGATAATTATACGAAATTGAAAAGACTAGATTTTTTTTATATAAAAAATAAATTAATCTTACAGGAGTACAAGTTTTTTGTTTCTTTTGAGTATTTGAGGAACTTTTATTATTAACACTATTAGTTATATTACTAAAACTGGGTAAAAATTTTTTATTTCCTTTTTTTCTAATCGAAGAATTATTTCCATGTTGAGAAAGGTTATCTGGAGGAACATCAGATACTTGATCAATATGTGGAATTTGAGTAGGTTGTTTAGCTAATTCTTGGACGGCTATTCGAAGGTTTTCTTGATCAGTTAAAGTAAAAGGGAATTCTATTCTACTGGATCTATTTGTCACGTTATTTGTTTTTGAAATAAGATGAGAAAAAATGCTAACTACACTTCCACGACGACTAGCACCAGAATTTTGAAAAAGTCTACGAGGACGAGCCACAGCTTTGACAGTAGACCATGGTGTTCCAAACTTTGAAGACCGATTCATCGTTTTTTGTTTTTCGGTTTTTTTTTTTTTTTTTTTTTTTTTTTTTTAAAAAAAAAAACTCTATATAAAGATTATATAAAAATTATATATATAAAGATTATATATCAAACGTGACAAGTAAGGATTGGAAATTCAGAAAGATAAAGTTAGAAAGATCAAACTCTTTTTGGAGAAAAAAACAAAAAATAATCCCAACCAGTGGGAACAAAAAAGGGAGTATTTAAATAATTTAAGGTAGTGTGACTTTCGTTTTTAAAAGTCACCGATCTAATGTAAATCTATAAGTGTAAAATAAAATGTATAAATAGATGATATAAAATTGATGATGAAATAAAGCAGATAAATAAAGTAGATAAATAAAGCAGATAAATAAAGCAGATAGTGACACAAACA